AATAATAATAATAATAATAATTATTATTATTATTATTATTATTTGTCTGTTTGTTTGTGTAGAGGAGCCACATTGGGCAGAAGTCCTAACTGAAGTGTTACTCAGTCTGTTGACCAAAACCTCGAGTCTGTTCCGCCATGTTGTTGATCAAGTGTTCGTCCTCCTTGCTCCCCATTTGACTCAGGATGCCCTGAACATGATTATAGAGGTAGGACTGCTTAGCGCTTTCACTGCCAAGATCTAATTAGTAATTCTCCTCACTGTCTGTCAAACAATTCTTATGATGTTGATTTAGAGAATTTGAAATTTGATCAACTGATAATTCCCTTATTGATATTTGTCTTTATTCTCATCACTGGTCTGCTTGACATTGTATAGATGTTGTAAGGAGAAATTCTGTCTTGATCACTCATGGGAGTTACAGGGTTGAGTCTTCATTATGTACTTCGTATTGAGGATTCGTCGTCATCATCATCATATTCAGTTTGTAGGACTCGTGTCACATAGGAGTCTAGTTATGGCCCAGATCTCTATGTAGTTTTCTGTAGCTCAGTGTCGGAGCGCGAAATCCGAGGGTCTGGGTTTCAGTTTCTCGGGGGGAGACTCAGAAATTTTCTTTGTTTCGCACCTTTGACAAGACCATAAACATCTCTTTTTTGAGGAGACCTTATGCAAATAAGCCCCTCTTGTCACAAGCTGATCTTAATATAAATGTTGCTTCAAATAATTTAACTATTTTGTTACTGTCGTTGGTTTTAGAGCTTGGATCCTAGAAAAGGAATTAATGGTGAAAATTTAGAGATTGTCGATGAATCAGGTGAGTACAGAAATTTTGCAATTTTTTCTTTCCCCCTGACCACTAAAGCAATGCTGACAACCGAAATAATTTTGTCGTGCTGATCCAGCGTGATAATTCATCTGTATCGCAAAAGTTCCAAAATTAATGAACAAAAGGAAACTGTTTCAATTTTTATCCAGCAAATTATTTCAGCAAATTATTTCTTTTAAAAACTACTGTTACTGTTCACTTTTAATTTACTTTCCAGATGTCGAAGAGGATGACGAAGAAATGGAATATGATGAAGAAAAAGCAAAGGTGACGTGAAGAAATAAGAAATTACTTAATTCTCACTCTGTATGAGGATTTGATTACGACTCAGAAATACTTGAAAGAAATACAAGACTCGTTTTCAAACAAAAGAAAAA